AAACTGTGGAATTATTCTCCAAATGATTGAAAGGGCTGGATGAACATCTCTAGGTTTATGAAAATGTATGAAGAAATAATAATTAGACAGTATGAAGATGTCAGGTAACCTTTTTAGATTATGCTAGATTGTTGTGTGTTTAAATTGTGTCTTTGGTTTCATGTTATAAGTATTCGTTGTAAGCAGCTGTGAGTGACAGAACATCTTTTTTAATCAAAACATCAAAATGTGGCTTTCCTCTCCCTGCTCCTTTCCATCATGGGCTATAAAAGCTGCTGGAAGTGTACATGTTTGGTTTTATAATAACTGCCATGAGTGGAATACTCGTTATACTTCAGAATAAATAGCTCTCCTAATGCCACTGTGTTCCTCTCACCAGTGTGGAGAGCCCGATCCAGAGGTCAGCCCACGAGGGGTCCAGAGTTCCTGTGACGTACTCCTCCTCCTCTAGACTGACGATGGACACCAGGTCCCCCCCCTCCTGAACGCAGTCCCCCCTCGCCTCAGACCAGCTCTTCCTGGTTTCAGCCTTCAGCTTGTAGCAGTTGGAGCCGTACTGTCTCCAGCCGTTGTCTAAGTCACACCGCGGGCCAGGATTCGCTGAAGAGCAGGAAAGAAAACATGCTTAATGGTTATGATTAAACTTGGTAAATTCCACATTTTTATTAATTTACTTCAGAACAATTTGAAGTTACTCATTTTCTGCTACTTTATACAATTCCAAACCCATCATCTTATACTGTACTTTGCTTCATCCTCTACATTTATATGACAGCTTCAGTTAGTCACTTTGCAGATATAGAGTATTAATACACATTCTAAATAAACTAAAAATAGATTATGATATTTAATTACAGGTTAAACAATTTAGCGGTATATCAACTATTTCAAATTGGCTCCACCTTAACAAGCTACAATATTAAAGTGATGAACACGATCATTTATCACTTATTATAATCTCTTAAATGATTTATTATGTTGAATTATGAGTACCTTTGCTGTTTGTACTTAAGCTACATGTTGATACTTTTGTATTTTACTTAGGTGATATTTTATTGCAGATCTTTATTTGCAACAGAGTATTTCTACATCGTGTTGCTGTATTGCTACTTTGCCTTAAGTAAAATATTTGAGTATCTTGTAGAGTCGTCACTAGAAACAAAAGAAATTGCTCTGAAATGTATACGTATGTATGAAGCGAGGAATAAGAGTTTTAGCTCTACGGTTTCAACTAGTTTGAGATCTAACACAGTACAGACAGTGGACTTACGGTTGACGTGCTTGCAGATATATTTCCTCTTGACGTTGCAGTTCTCGTCGTCCCACTGGCCTTGGCTCTCCCCGACCACCTGAACACAGTCCTCTCCGGGCTCATCGCCCCAGTTATCAGGCTGCCCGTCCATCCAGTATCTACAACAGGAGAGGAATCACTTGTGATAAACTAAACTAAAATAAATGTAACGTAATGTAACACATACTTTTTTGTATGATGCATATTTAAATATTGGTATAACATACGATAAGTATGGTATGAAGGTGCTCCCATCGCTCCACTCAAACACGTTTTCTGAGACCTGGTCATTCAGGCCAAACCAGAACATCTCTTTGCCGATCTGGGTCCTCACCCACAGCTAGACATTATAAATAAAAATAAATTGAAAACTATGTATTTTATTTCAAACAAAACACAAGTATAAAACATAAATAAACAGGTTACATATTTCTCATTAGCAATTTAAACAATGTCAATACATTTAAATGAAGGTACAGGAGTAGAAAGAAGTATTTTCTTACATGATCCTATTCTTTTTCCACAACTCAAACAATGAACTGAACATTTATCATCTATCAACTCAAACCACATGCTATGATGTCAAACTCAAATATCCACACAGGGTCTTCCTCTCAATACCTCCTCAAAATAAATGTTCTGACCATCTTTTTAAAACAATTTATCTTTAGACTTTTGAAAAACCACATCACCAATTCAACCTAAACATTGAAATACACATAGTCCCAACGTGTAAGAAGCACCATTTTTTGTTTAATTACAATTTATTCTTAAATTACAAATCCCTCTGTCTAAAAGAAATGTCATACATCCCAGAAGTAAATACATTGTTTTGTTTCTAGTGTAATGTGCTTTACATGATTCCCTATAGTGTGTAAGGCTTTATGATTCAGGACACTTTTTTCATGTGGTATATTGGGTTTCTGATTCTGCTGGCTAATAACCTTCAATTGCTTTGTCATATACTCTTTCCAGCATAATCTTTGTTGCGTTTAAATTGTGTTATATTGTTCTCAAAAAAACGTTTACATTTACAATTTTCAATTCCATAATCATCTCCAAAATCTGATGCAAATGTTTACCAGAAGAATACACGAGTAGAGCCGTCTGCAGAGAACATTAACCCAATGGGTGATTTCAGGCGTAGGCGCGTGTGTGTGTGTGCGTGCGTGCGTGCGTGCGTGCGTGTGTGTGTGTGTGTGTCTCTCACCCTCTCATGAATGTCATGGACACTCATCAGGTTGCTGTTCTGAGCGATACAAAAGGCATTAGCCTCCATCCATGTCCTTATATCAGTTGAAAAGAAGTAACATCTATCTTCATTCTCCCTCCAGCCCTGCTGACACTGGCAATGAGCTGAAACACAACAAAACAAAACAGTGTTACTGCGCACTATGACAAACCATGGAATAAATGGAATAGAAATAATACATTATGAAGATCACCACAGCAGGTAACCAAGGTAGTACCAGTGTAAAGCACTAAGATGCAAGTAGATGGTGAAATAAGTACATGCTAAAACATCTGATCATCATTTTAGAATGCTTAAAATGGGATTGTTTTGTCTTTTATGTTCTGATGTGACGCATCAGTATAGAGATCACAAGCAACATCTCTCAGTCAGCAAGAATGATAGAATAAAAAATAACGTGATTACTTTTAATGGGTGATAAGTCAAAAAAAGTTTCCCTGTTGATTTGAAACATCACAAGCTGCTGAATCATTTAAATACCCATTTCATCATAAAAGTCCCATGACAGATCCACAGTCCAGCCATGTCAGTCAGTTCTCATACAAAACTCTGGGTAATGTTTGACTTTAACAACTTCAGCAACAAGACACAATAAAATCACCAGTTTTGCACACATCCTTATTGAGTTGATAGAGCAAAAGAAACTTGAACCACCACAACACTGAATCTCTGACCGCTGCACGACATTGTGGGGCGTCGGTAACATCAGATGACCATTAAACTAGTCAGTTCGATGGATGCATAACAAATGAAAAAATGCTACAATCCCATACATTTAAATATTGTTTTAAGTTTAAACATTCTTCTGCTTAAAACAAATGCTAGCGTAACATTTAGCAGTAAAGTAGGCTATTCCAGAGGTATTCCCCCCACATTTCACCAGAGAAGTAGTTGAGTTCATGATGGAAAGTAGTAATACCATTCAAGATTGGTTGAAAATTGGTTTAAAGAAAATTATTATTGAGGTTAGAAGTCTCTAAGTAGAAGTACAACACGTGTTTTGTTTTGTTGTTCTAAGTTTTATCTTTTTTTTCTACGCATGATTATTACTTTTATGCCAAAAAACAATTTTCAACAAGTTTCTGGAATATTCTTTCTCCCTCCCGTCTTGAGTTAGGCACTTTTAATAAAAAAAATATATAAACATTGCAAAGAATACCTTATATACTTGCCACATAACAAATATAAAAAGCACTACTTTTTGTTCACTTCACACTTGGTTCTTGTTGATCCATTTCAAAACTCAAATCTGTGCTCTTATGTTACTTTTCTAATAATGTAACCAAAAACAGACTTACCGCAAGCGAGAAGAGCAGCAGCGCTGAGCAGCTGCAGCAGCATTTTTATTTTCTGTGTTCACTTCTCAAGGTGTGTTTCTACACATACTAACAACTTCAAGTTTCTTTTCGAACCCCTCTGAACAGTCTGTGATGTGCTCCCTCTCCCAGTGTTCAAACCTCTGAGCATCTTCTCTTTGCTTCCCCTCTTTTCAGCATCCAGCCGGGTCCAAAGACTGAAGGCAGTAAAACACAGATGACAGACACTTGACCTCCTCACTCATTTTCTACGTTACAACCCACAGCAGTTTGTAACGTACATTTGAATTGGATAAAACTATGTTGGAAATGGTGATTCCATTATGTGCAATAAGGATCAAAGATTTTAATTTAATTTAACAAAAAGTAGCTTTTGCTATCAATAAAAACACATGATGGACATTTGTTTTGAATTGAAAGTAATTTTCTTTTGCATTTTACTTCTTGCTGAATGCCTTTTTAAAATAAAACATCCTGACTTAAGGCACTCGAGGTTAAAGGCCTGACATATTTATTTGAAGCACTTTTTTTTTTTTGTGTGCCATTTCACTCTTTAAATAAATAAATACTAGTAAATAATTATTGTTTAAATGGTATAGACATGCTGTGTGCAGGGCCATAAATTAAGTCATATTACATATACAAAATAATAATAATAATAATAATGAAAATACAAACACACAGGGGGTAATACCATTTGTCACTTGAACGTAACAGATGTATGTAAACAAATGATTGTATGTAAAAAGTGTGCCACTCACATTTGACCCAGTGAAACCACAAAGTCCACAAGAGACTTTATAACAACCACATGTCAACTAATAAACGTTATACTGCCACACCTCCGCCTTCTCCAACCTGTTGTTACAAAACCATAAAAGGCTCATTTGATATCAGATTCTCATTTCATTATGTTGTATTGCTCAGCAGACACAGCATCAGGAGCTTTCCCCGAACCTACGTTTCAGAAAATAATTATTATATGAATCTCATTGAGAAACAAATGCACACTCGACAGTTTCAGGTGCGTTTACTCTTTAGTTCAAAGCAGTGTGAGGAGTGACGGGTCATTTAATGCAGTTTTCTGTGAGTCAAAATGGAAAAAAATACAGGAGAAAAAAAAAGAGGATTCCCAATAATAATCTTTTCACATAACTTTATTTTCCCAATGCACCAATACCATGTAAATAAAAAGAACAATATGGAAGTAGTGAAGAAGAGGAGGAACAACACAAAGTACAGTAAAGTTTACAAAAAAACTTACAAAAGGAGTTTCTGGCTCATTTGCTAACAAAGATGGCATCAAGTTTTTGTTTTAGTTTGGTTTAAAAAACGATGTACAGTGTTTATAATATGCACCAAAAGGATTGCCGGCAGGACACAAACTGTGCAATAACAGCTGTTTCTAGTCAAATTGTATATAGCACTTCTTTAAAAACCATCAAACTATTCTGAAAAAACCCAGAAATGATGAATTGCTCCATAGATAGAATAGAAATCGAGTGTTAAATAAACATCTTCAAACTTATAACATGAATAACGTGAAATGATCCATTCAGGACAAAATATACTCAGACTTCACATCTATTCTAGGAAAATAGTGCACAGCAATGGATTAGATAAGAGTGTAGTAAAGGATAATGCCAAAGATACACCTATTTTTATTATTATACAAAATGTCCATATATTAAAATATAGCGCAACCGCCTGCAAACCTCAGCTGCCTCTCTCTCACATCTGAAAGCACTCTGATTAGGATTTCTGACAGTCCAGCTATCGTCAAACACAAACCTTCTCTCTGTACAATAATGTAAAACTGGAAAAGAAGTGTAGAGGCGCACCGTATTGCTCTGATCAGTCCCCGACTCTCAGCCAGTCACACCTCCTCCGCTCTGAGGGAGAGGTTAAGGAGTTCCACTCAGGGCTCAGCAGGCGTTCAACCAGGTTTGCATCGACAGAGTCCTGGAACGCACGTTTTTGTGCTTGGCGTTTGCGGCGGTGAACTCCTCGGACCCGGCGCCTCACACACCTGATTGTCCCGGTCAGTGATTGCTCAAACACATGAACAGGCAGCTACATCTGCTGCAGTGTGGTCCAGCTGGCTGCTGCCGGTAGATTCATTCTGCGCCTTTAGACACTCTTACTGATTAGCATAAGATCTCAGGAATCTTGGAAATGTTATCGACATCTTGTCAGCATATTTCAGAATGGTGCACACGCTGCACTGCAAGAGTGAATCCAGTTTGAAGATTTTTCTTTTGTTAAATCACTTATCTGCCACATATCTGTGAATAATTAAAACAACTGCAATCTAGAAGAAGGAATGCGTCCATACTGGCTTATATACAGTCCACATTCACAACGTGCAGTTAAACCAAATCCCCCAAAACATAACCTTTCATTCTGGAGATGATAACATTAAATACTAAATAGTTTCAGTTAATATGTTCCCTTAAAAAACGATGTCAAAGGCAGTCAAACAAATACAATACAGTACAAAATACTATATCACTGATTGCAAATAACACCAGCAGGAGTCAAGAAAACCCCTCAGATTTGTCAGATGTGCACTTCAAGTCAGTCCCTAACATTCCTCCATCACTGTGTGCAAACTGAACGTCTTCCCAAAACAGTTTGAGGCTGGCGTTCAGGGACAGTGACGCAGTGATGTCACTCCGTCACTGTGGGTGTGCTTTGTGTTGTGTGCTTGTGCGGTGGTGGTCAGATCTGAAGGAGGCCTGGCAGTCAGTCAACTGGTGGTCAGTGGGTTGGGGGGGGGGTCACATGCAGTTGGCCACGTTGCTGGAGCCCTGGCCGACGTCTCTGATCTGACTGACGTGAGACGAGCAGACCGCCACCCCCGCCCCGGCCCGGCAGTGAGACACGGAGCCCACCAGCTCCCACCTGGACAGAAACAGAGCCACAGTAATCAGAAGACATGCCGACAGTCGTGACATTAAAGAGGTGTTCTTTGTTTGTATTTTCAGTTATTTGTTTGGAAATGATGTTACATTTTAATTGTCGTTGTTTGTGTTTTCTTTTCATGCACTGGTCTCCCTCAGCTATTGTATTATCTAGGTTATTATGCAGGGTGATGCTAACCTTGGCTGACGGGGCACCTACAGTTTATTCTGATTGGTTATTGGAGATGATTGATAACACCAAATCGATATATTATCTTCTATAATGAAAGAAATAGCATCTCCTCCTCACCTGTTCATTCGAGGCTCAAAGGCCTCCACCGTGTTCAGGTAGATGTTCCCGTTATGCCCCCCGACTGCGAACACTCTTCCCATCACAGTGGCGACCCCGACGCCCCCCCGCGGGGTGGTCAGCTCGGACACGTACTCCCAGCGGTGCATTCGTGGGTCAAAGCGCTCGACAGAACTCAGCGGTGAATTGTCATCGAAACCACCTTCAGGAAATACGAGGAAGACAATTATTAAAAATCCCAAAACTTTTGTGAAAAAGCTCAAATGTATGGTTTTAAAAAATAACACGGTGGCAAACAAAACGTTTGGGTGTAACAACGATGATGTTGTTGTTTATAGTGCAGGCACAGGATGAGATGATTTCAGCTACTGTCCAGGCACAATGCCTCAACAGATGTTTTAATGGGTCTTGAATAACTCTTCAAACTCCAGTGGTACAATAAAAATCAAATCCTCACACTCTGTTAATGAGTCTCCAGCTGGCTTTACAAAACATGAACTTTCGCCTTCCTGATTCACGCATTTGTGTATATAATTGTAGGGTGTGTATCTAGGAGGCATGTGACTTTGGTTTATAGAAAAGCAGTGACTCCAGTCACAGCAGTTCAAGCAGATGTAGACAGAATAGATCTGGAACTACAACGCGTGGTCACAACAATATCTGGCTAGTGATCAGTTCTGCTTTTGTTACGGCCATTTGGAGTTCATCTTTATTTATTCTTCTCACCCACTACGTAGAGGCAGCCGTTCAGCTTGCTGACTCCGTTTCCCGCCCGGCGTTGGCCCATCTCGCTGACCTCGGTCCACTTGTTGAGGTGGGGGTTGAACCGCTCCACGCTGGACAGTGACGCCACGCCATCGTTGCCTCCCACTGCGTACATAAAACTCTGGCACAAGATGGAAATATGAGTGTTAGTACAGACATTACAACTTTTTACTTTTCAAGGACAGTCAAGCCGAGGGTCAGTGTGCACGATAAGCTGCGCACGTATAAACACACGTATGTGTTTTCTGACAGACAACACTGAGGGCACAGAATCTCACAATGAACGTTTCTAATCACTTGACACATGGCAGGGTATTCTGCCTCAGTCACTTCACAGTGAATATAAGCCGTAGTAATGAAAACGCCTCTTTACTTTGTAAAGGGCCAAGAGGGAGTGGTTGTAAAGTGCTACTTAATGAACAAAACTTTGGTCAACATAAGATACAGTTATGAGGTTCACTTATTCTTTTGGTCACAACTCACTCACTTTAAGCACCTTTTGCAAACCCTCTATAAAGCAGTAAAGTCCAGAGGAGAGATGATATATCTTTCGCAGCTGATGGCCCTTCTTTGCGGTCTTACCCCCAACGCCACGGATCCCACTCCTCCTCTGGGCGTGTTCATCGGAGCCACAGCGCTCCAGCAGTCGCCCTCGATGTCGTAACGCTCCACATCGTTGAAGCAGGAGTTGTCGTCCAGACCTCCGATAGCGTAGATAGGACCACCGAGCGCTGCCAGGGCTATACCCCTCCTGAGAAACACACCTGACCTTGCTCAAAGCTGTATTTCTGCTTTTACCCAAATACTCTTAGTACACTAAATGCATACTGTACATAGCAGTTGGAAAAAGGAACATTTTCAGAGTCAACAGGATGAGAGAAAATAGGATTTAGAGATCGAGGGTTTTGAAGAGGTCAAGCTGTGAGTGAAAAGAAAAGTACACATTCTAGGCTTTATGTATTATTTAAATATATTACATATTTTCAATGACTTTGTCCACATTTGGTCAGTCAAATAGTGTCGTTATTAAGGCGGAGAATTGCAACAATATAGAGATGATTATCTTCTTTAGAATCTTTTCAAACCGCACAAAATAAAGCACATCAAAGTGGAGATTGTAAAAGGTTTTCTTCTTAATATCACTGCTAAAAAGTACCAGAACATTCATTTGGATATACAAAGGTTTTGTTTTTCTTAACCAAACTGCAGCCCAAAATGGTGTTTTAGACGCATCCTCTCTGGAGAGTTGGTTTTGTATTCAGAATGTAAATGGAAGAAGAAATGGTCGGAAAGGACCGCACATTGTAGCGTCTGCGTACCTCTTGGTGTTCATGGAGGCTTTCATCATCCACTTGTTGGTGAGGGGGTCAAACATCTCCATGTTGCCCAAGTGTTCGGTACCATCATGGCCCCCGACAGCATACACCTTGCCTAAAGAAACAGACAGTAAAAACTTAGGAAGTTAAGTCTAAATGATCATGTGACCTGACCATGGATTCTGACTGTATTCACTTTAAGTGTGTTTTCCAGATTCCCCATCAACCTTTTTCTTTGCAAATTAGAGTTATCATTTATAGATGATATTCTTAAAACCTTAAATGTCAGGGTAAAGCAGTAGACAAAGTATAAAACACACACTCAATTGCCAGTTTATGTAAATAATGCAACACGTTTGAATAATGCAACACAGCACCACAAGCTGCATCCTCCAAAATGATCATGAGGTTGAATCAATAACTCTCCACAACAGATTCAACCAAACGGAATATCTTAACCTTTACTAAGGTGGAACTGAATGAAAGACTGTTGTATTAGACGGCATTAGTTTCAGATAGGTGTCCCGATGAACTGGCAGTGATAATGTTGTAATGTTGCTCTGTGCTCTTTCTAAACCCAGCTGCTCCTTCTTTTACTTTCTGATACGTCACCCCTCTTACCTCCTACAGATATGACACCCACGTGACGCCGTCTGCTGTTCATTTCAGGACCAAAGAACCAGCTGTTTTTGGTGATGGAGTAACACTCGATGCTGCGAAATGGGTCACCAGAACCCCCCCGGCCCCCCACACAGAACAAAACCCCTGAGGAGAAAAAGGGAAATAACAGAATGTTGATAAAGGGAAAGCACACACATCTTACTTAATGCCCAAAGAACCTCAGAATAAACACTTTTTTAAAGACAAAATTATGAAAAAACAGAAATGATATACGTTTTTGGAATTGAGCTTTTGTTATGAAAACAAGACTAAGTGTGTAACAATACAAACGCACAGACAGGCATTTGGTTTTATGAATGTGTTTTTTCAAAGATGATAAGAAAAAGAGCTGATTGTTGCTAGAAAAGCCATAACATCAGTTGATCAAAGCCAAACACCAGCATCATATAAGCATCACCTGCAGTGTGTTTCCGGGGAATGGTACGGACTGTATACTCAAAGTCCAGCACCACCTTGTTGCTAAGGTGCAGGTGGTAGTTCCTGGCTTCGTCCATCAGGTCGCGACAGCTCAGGTTCCCTTTAATCATCTCGTCCTTCGACACTGACCCCGTCAGGAACTCTACAGGGAGCAGGGGGAGGCGCACCTGCAGGAGAGAGAGACCACCCACATGTTATTGTGGGTGTAAAAGTGATTGAATAAAGCTTAAAGAACACATGTAACACGCATTCTACAGAGTTATGTCACTAAACAACTAGATAACCAGTAAACTAGGCCACAAAGTCAATGAGAGCACACACTTTCAAACACATCACTTTGGATTTAAGAAAAATACAGCATTGATTTACTTAAAGGTCTCCTATTATACATTTTGAAGGCATATATTATAGTTCTCAGATATATAAAAAACATGTCTATGTAGTGTTTTGCTCCAAATACCAAACAGGTCACCCATTCTAGCCATGCCTCATAACCCTCTATTTCAGCCCTGTTAGAGAACTGCTGATTCCGGAAAAAAGTACAGGTTAGCTCTGAGTGTTAGCGATGCTTGCTAATGTAAACATAGACCAAATTACTTTCAAAACGTCGTGCATTGTTTCTGATAGCGACGTTTCTGATAGGCAGGGTTCATACACTTTTTCACCAATGATTTTCAATGACTTCTCCAAGACCTTTACCTAATTTTCCATGACCAAAGAAATTACTTTTTCTCAGCGGTACCACTGAAAATTGTTTATTTTAACATGGAACAGGAAAATAAGGTCTGCATATGAAACATGTTGTGCCTATCTAAAACAAATCAAATAGTAGGCTGACTAGCTTCTACACGCTAAAGCAAATAAAATCTCTCACCAGCAAAATACCTCGTCAGTTAAATGCCATTTCATTACTATACACGATACAGAATGTATTACCGGACGCCACAGAGGTTCGGTGAACGCGTGGAACAACAGGAGGTCGCTTGAGTTGTAAGTGAGTCTTTGTGTCCACATGCTTGCGTCGGCACTTTACCGAATTCCGAATTGGGCGTTCGTGGTGCTCCCTGAACCGACCTTGTCTAGTACAGAGTCCAGTCTCTCGCGTTGTGAAGTTCAGTAGTTTCCGACCCAAATCGAATCAGAATTTTCCAGAAGATAGTACGTTTTACGTGAAAAGCTACAAGAAAATATGGTGTTTAGGGGCCACGACAGTCATCTAAGTGTTTCACAGTCTTTTATTTTGGAGAGAGTAAAGGGAGGATGGGGTGTAGAGAATTTTGCCCCCATGTTGCCTCGACTAGGTCTAACGAACTGGCTATACTACAATATAGCCCTTTACCACCCGACCGAAATGGTCGGTTGTCGGGTTAGGTCCCAAGAATGCCAGTAATTTTTGACCTTTAGATTTTCCGATTAAGGTCCCGGGACCTCTCTTCAATTACCTTTTGTTATAAAAGGGTTCCAAAACCTTTTCAGTAACCTGTAAATCGACTCATCTTAGGTATATATTAAATATATATCTAGCATTAGCGGCTTTATCATTTATCGATAT